CCTGAAACATGCTTTGAGGATCCAAAGAACTTTTACATTTAGAGCTAAATGTGATTGATTGTTTTGTTTTCCACAATGCCATCACTGATGTGGGGACAGTACAGTAAATGATCATTGTAAAGGCCTTTGGGATGCTTTAAACTGTTTTAAACAAACTGATTACCTTACAACAGTAAAGATCACAAAGCACTGTATAGAAAGAAAATGCTGATCTATCACTCTGCTGTAAAATTTAGATCAGTAGTGTTTGATGTATGGTGGCTGTGTGGAAACACGTGGCTACATTGGAGTTTTATCCCAGACTTTGAAAGGTACTAATAACAAAGTTAGATGTTCTGTTGTATCCATTTGTCCACAGGTTCAGTCATATCCACTGTCCCTGATGGCAAACATCTGGACATGGTAAAATAGAACGGCACAAAGGAGTGTGTGCGATGTTTGGTGATGCGTGTGCACCTTCATCCCTAGCAATACCACTGATAATGGTTCTTTTACAGAAACAGTTACTGAACTGGAAACATTAGCGGATGGATTTAATGATCAGATTTGATAAACACGCCTCACACTGAATGGCTTCCTTATCTTAAATCTTTTTTCCTTTGTATAATTACTAATAGTGAAGGTCAATATGACCTGGAGTAGCCTGCTCAACTATGTTATCTGCTGACTGTATGAGGCCAGCACCTGGAGAAAGATAGTGGCAGTCGCTCTCTGGCCAGCAACAGCGCGGATGAGAAAAAAACAGTTGCAACTGCAGACTTTATTAACTGAAAATTGCACTACACCATCTTTGAAAATGGTCAGACTGGACTGCAAATGAGTGAAAAAGCAGCCTGAATACCCCGTTTCATGTTTCTAAAACACATTGAACACAAATGCATTCATTTATTGTAAACAGTACTTTTTAAGGCTATTCGATTTTGCTTTTGGGCTAGTGCTGATTGATCAGTTGCATTGATAAGCTTGCATATATGATTTGGTTCTATAAAAACAACTTTCACAGCTTGTGAGTGAATTTACTTTTTGTCACTGTGGTGAAACAAATAGCAGCCTGAAGTTTCAACAATTTGTAACAAACTGAGAAAGTAATTTTTCAATTACTACACTAAAAAATATAATGTGAATAAACTTGGAATTGTGATCCTGACACACTGACAGTAAGATCAAGCTAAACACTTAGATTTAGTTCTGAATATCAGTGCTAAAATACACCACAGTCTAGTCTGTAGTTGATAAATATGCAGAGACAGAAAGTGTTTCCTCCAGCTCATCTG